CGTAAACAACATCTTAAAGTTATATACACGTTATTGCGAATAGTATTATCACAGCCCCGGTGGTCGAGCTGGCTAAGACGCCCGTCACGGATTGTAGGGAGGTCCCAGGTTCGAATCCTGGCTGGGGTAATATTTTTCGCAATAAGAATTTTAATTGCCAGACACGGTCGACAAAAATCACCGATGTTATTGAAAAAAATTAACTACAAAATATGTCCTTAAGGAAATTTCCTTTTGATCAAGATTGCGATCGCGGTTTCCAAATATTAAATTGACGTAAATATGTCAGCGTGTCTTTATTGATAATTTAACGAGACAAGGGAAAGTAATAAGAGTAATGGGTTGATAGTACGTTGTCAATAGACCTATTTGGAGGAGACTGACTTTGTGACGAAGCGTACTTTTCAAGGTTTTAGTTTTAAATTCGTTTAGTTTCAATATGGTCAAAAACGCTGATAAACGGGATCACCATTACTGATTAGAGTTTCCAGGGAGCGTCCCATTTGACCACATTGAGATTGACAGTTACAGACACCTGCACTGTATGGGCTCTTATTCAGCGAATAAGAGATTATAGAAGTAGTGCAACGTGAGAAATAGCGCGCGCGCGTGCGTGCGTGCGTGCGTGCGTGCGTGCGTGTGTGTGTGTGTTTCATATGTACACTGCCATTCATTAATGCCTAGACCTGCATTTTTATCATAATTTTTTCCATGTATACAAATCACTGAGTTCAGACTGTATGTATGTACTACCACAGACTTCTATAGAAGCTGTGTGCAGCTTGAAACTCATCGATGTATAGATGGAAATAAAAATTATGAAAATGTGAATCCTAGTAAAACTACTACAGAGCTGAGGTCCAGGCATTAATGAATAGCACTGTACATGCTATGTGTGCGAGTTTTGAAACGAACAAATATGCCTCCTCCCCTCGCTGCAAATGCGTTTATCTTCTTTAGCTTGTGTTCCGTAGTGGGTATAAATTGTCAAGTAATATCGGCTAATTCGCTCAGCAAATATCTACATTTTCATTAATTGAGTTTTCATAGACTATTGCGAAAACAGAATTTTTCTGTCACTTTAACCTGCTCTATTTATCTACGAGAGGTACTACACTTCTTTTCAAACACCCTGTATATCCTGATATGCCTAGAAAATCCAATTTAATAATGTATTATATAAATGTATGTGGTCCCAATCAGACAAACTCGACTCGCCCAGGCAGATGTTGTTTGAACAGTTAAGCAAACAACAGAAACGATATGTCGTGATAGTTAGCTGCTCTCGATCGTTTTCCACCGGGAGTCTACGATACTTGTAAAAGGCTATTTAGGGTCATTTAATTTCCTCACAAAATTTACTAACTTCTAACTTCTAGAAAAGAAATCATTTTTATCCTCAATACCTCTTGAAATTCCTCTTTATCTCTACAACTTACCATAGTATATTTCCAAGTTTAGATTGATTTTTAATGGTAAATATCTTTGCAATAAACTGTCACATGTGGGACATTTGGTTTCGAAAGCTTTAGCATGAAGTCAGTACCAACAGTTTATGACGAGGGAGAAACCGCTGAGTGCATTGTGTACAGATCTGCGGCATTACTGGGTATTACTAGGCATTTTTGGGGCACTAGTTTGGTCATTAGGCCTTGCTGGGGCATTATAAAAATAAAATAAGGTAAAATAAGACAAGATAAAATAAAACAAAATTAATAAGATAAAATAAGATGATAAGATAAAGTAATGCTCACTGGGTATTAGTGGGCAATGGTGTACAAGATTTTGGTCAGCGGTTTCCCCCTCGGTCTATGGAAGATAAGGTAAATGCGTAACAAATCTTGTATCAACAGTATCAACATTGATTCCAACATAAATATATTTATGTTTTCCGCTTTCTCCTCTCTGATTCCGGATTTTATCTCCTTAGTCATCGGTCGCGTCTACGTCCCCGATTTTGCACTTCGCTGCAATCACAAATTTACATATATCGCACATTGTGTCGATACATTGCGCGTTTTCCCGCGATGAAAACGCGTGCGGTCGAGATTCCCTTTCATTGAGGCCGGCGCACGCGTACCAGGGGTCTGAGTTATGCAATTCAGGGTTACGCGGGAAGCTCGCAAATAAACGTGAGGTCGTAAGCAAATGATTGCAGTGTGTGTAGAAAACCGGAGCGAGAAGCAATTTGTTTCAATAGTAGGGGTAGTTGAAGGACCATCCCTTGCTGAAGAATGCAGGTATTTCTGCCGTGTCTTAGATGATTTTGTGAATGAAAAAAATTAATGAAAAATGAACTATAAGTAATACAATGCTGTGAAAAGGAGACCCTAGCAGTGTTTGCTGTTATCTAAATAAAATTATATAGATGATTATCTAGATAAAATTTTAGCGTTATCTTTATATAGATAATAAAAATAAGTATTATCTATATCTGCATCTTAGATGAAAGAAAGTGTTATCTTTACTAAATTATCTAAGATAACGTACAGATAATTTGGTTTAGGGCCACATAAAAATACTTAACAGTTACACTACTTAAATATGGATGGCGTTGTAGACCATGCATTTATGTGTGTGTCATATAACTTAACCTGAATATATTCTATATCCCCCTTTATAATGTATATTTTTCTATAATTTTTTTATAACTTTTCCTACTGCGTTTACATAAAGTCTTAAAAATATTATCTGAAAATTATCTAGATGAATCATATAATTTTATCTTTTATCTAGATATATTCAAAACGAAATCATCTTTATCTTATCTAAGATAAATTTATATTTTTATCTTATCTTTATCTAGCTAATTTTAAAATCATCTATGCACAACACTGGACCCTAGTAACCTTCAATACTATAGAAATCGGAAGGACTTGCTATTGTCCTTAAAAAAAAGATTTAATGACGGTGTTATGCAACAAGAATTTCTTTTATTAGGTATTTCAGATAAAGAAATATTAGTTCGTTAGTCACACTACGAATTTTTCTTAAAAAAAAACCAGTGCCATCCATTGCGAAATAGAAAACGTTCTTGGTTGAGCGTAAACCATTTGGAGGGTTATAAATTAACGTCTTTCGACAGTACGAACGAAACGGAGAAGCTGGATGTCCTCGTCAATGAAGACAACAGTGATAATTATACAAACGATGTTATACAATATCGCGCGGCGTCGCAAGACTCGCCTCGTATCAGGATTTTATTATAATCTGCTTAATGTTTAACGTCAAGTTAACGGGTCGCGAGCTGTGCGGTAAATAATATCAGAACGTTGCATAAATTGGCGATATCTGCGAAGAGTCAGAAAAAGCGTGCGATAGGTCGCGTCGCGAACATGATAGGGTGCTACGACTTTAATCACATCTATGTTGTATGAACGAAACAATTCTAGATCTATAGCCGAAGATATTCACTTTAGAAATGTCTTTAGAAATGTGAAAAAGCTCGCAAATTTTGGGACAAGTGGCAACAAAAGGAAGATATTCAGCAAAGGTCAAAAGAAAAATGAAAGGGACAGGTGAGAATAAATAACTGTGTATAAGAAAATCACATAAATCACGTTGCGAATATATGTGTCAAAAGACGTCACCGTTCATGCATACATCTGTAAATCACATGGAAATAAACACTAAGGTCGATTTCCCTTTCCACGACATACAAAGTGGTCTCCGGAGTGGCGGCTGCGCTTGTTATTCGAATGATTATGTAAAACTTATGCGAAGCAGAGGTCGGTTGAAAGCGACGTAAAACGTCGAACGTAGAAAACGGACGAGCAGCGAAGACGGACGACGAGTTGTTACGAGTCGAGGCCGATACACAGCAAACACAGCGCGATAAAATCGCGTCCCCCACATTGAATTTACAACGCTTGAAACTGACTTTCGGTCGCCCAAGAAATTAAGGAAGAAAGGTCAATGAAGAGGGGCGAGGTATATCGAAATTACGGTATTCTTTCTATTTTGTTAAATAAAGAGTTGTAAACTATAAAAGTAAAAATTGTCTAGTTTTTTCAGTCTTAGCAATTTAGAGAGAACTGCTTTAAAAAAAGGGGGAGAGAGAGGAATCTACACTGAAATACAATCTGATAGATTCAACCAGTCGTCTGTTAGAAAATGGACGAATCTGAATTTCCTTAGGATTTACCAGATGTGTAATGAATCTAGCACACTTCTGGTTATAAAAGATAGAGATAGAATTCACTACACATCTGGTAAATCCTAAAGGAATTCTGATTCGACCATTTTCTAACAGACAACTGGTTGAATCTATTAGATTTCTTTTCAGTGTATGGTTTATTCTTAAAGGATTTTTAAATATTTCAAAATTAAGAATAAATTTCTGTTGCTCAATCTTGAGAAAAATTACACTTTTTAATAAATGATAAACCTTGCAATAATACAAGATGTGAGAGGAGAAACGTCCCGTTTTTTATCATGTTGGGTCAATAGCCATCGACAGCCATCGATTTGGTACTTGTTTAAAACCGAATAAAAATTGGAAAGTTTTGTGACCGATCAGCGACATAAATAATGAAACGTCACTCGACATAAGACAATAATATAAACTATAATTACTAAAATATTTCAAGATTGAAAGTTTCCGCGGACATCCTTTATCGTAATATGCCTCTGATCGAAACAATTATCTTGTTAAGCTGTTAATTTGTCTGCCTCGTTCAAAGCCACCCCAATTAACAACGGAATCATAAGAGGCGCATGACCTGCCCCTTTTTCGACCACAATCATCGCAATGACGTTGCCAACAACCAATGCGACCCTGCCAAGTGTCATTACACCTTACTGGTATGTGTTTGGTAGTGAGTTTAGAAGCTGGCATTTCATGTCACTGTAAATTTAGCGGGGCCCTCGTAGAGTTGACCGTCGCTACGAAACGCAATGTTTAAAAAAAACGACCAGGCAGACGAGACGGGACATCGATTCGAGATTGTTTCCATCTATGACATTTATGTTCGAATGTTGATTGGCTCGAATCGCGGCGGTGCGGATTCACGGTCAAAATATAATGTGAATTTTGAGTAGAATCGAGGCTGAGCCTGTCCCAGAAGTACTTAGAATCTTGACATATGTCGTTCATAAAAAGTGGAAAAGAAAGAACCCTTTTTCTCGTACTGTATAGACCAACGGAGGCGTCTTTTAACTTAACTTAATCATTACCTAGCGGCGCGATGTAACAGGCGGTCACACCTACTAAGTAATGCTAGGAAGACTCGTCGTTCTCAAAATAATCCCCGTGTTCCGCTGGTTCTATATTTAGCGCGAGTATCGGACTGATTCGGGTTCAGGTCAAACAGAGACCGAAGTTGGAGGGAACGCGCGAAAAGGGCAAAGAGAAAAGCGGAGATAGAAAGGGACAAACGAGTTTGGACTTTCTTTTTATCGGAAGAAAGTTATATAATTCAAAGAGATATTCGAGACATGAAAATTAAATATATTAAAGTTATTAAAATATTTCGAATGTAAATTTCAACGTAATAGACAAGAAAAAATAACTTTCACGATCATATTAGATCATCTTTATCAATGGAATCCGAGAGGAAACCGCATTGTGGGGCACAAATTTGTGGTACTACTGGGCATCAGGCCTTGCTGGGGCGTTATAAGGATAAGATAAGATAAAATAGCATAAAACAAGATGAGATAAAATAAGGTAATAAGGTAAAGTAATGGCCCACTGGGCATTAGTGGACATTGGCGTACAAGATTTTAATCAGCAGTTTCCCCCTCGATGGAATCTATCCGAGCCTATGCTCTATGCCCTATGCCCTATGCCCTATGCCTATCCCAGTGAGAAATGATTCGTCGATCGATGTCAAAACGATGTCGAATCGACATCGATACCGTCAAATTGACGTCGATTCGACATCGTTTCGACATCGATCGACGAATCATTTCTCACTGGGATGCCTATTCCCTATGCATATGCCTTTTTTTTACTTTTGAAAGACAGATTTATAAACGCGATAGGTTACAATTTCTCTTTTGAACAAGTGATATCGAATAATAGCGCATTCTAATTTATATTTATGCAACGATCGATCTAACGACGAGTCGATGAGCAACGATCGATATAGAAAAGACGCTCATACAAACACGAGACTCGTTTCAAACATATCACATTTCGCAAACGCGATATAGGACCGATATTTCCAACGTCTGTTAACTCTACTAAGCCGTTAACTTTGGATGTTATTGGTCTTATTGGCTGTTCTGTTTTACAGTCAATTCCAGTTGATTATTGCGAAAAGTTAACGGTCGCTGAAGAGTTGACGAACGTTAGAACTAATGGTCCATAAACGCGATCGAATCTTTCGTTTGATACGTGTCGATATTCCGTAAATTAAAATCTTTCCTCAAGGAATGCAAGTGCATTTTGCAAGATGACGACGCCTCCGGAAACGAAATCCGCCGCTAGAGAGTCGAAACCTACTAAACTTAGCACTTGAGTTTTACAATTACGTAAGGTCCAGTAACCCGACGGCGTAAAATTAGGATAGCTCTACCTGCTTTCGTGTGCGTCTAGGCAGTCGTCTTCGACGTTGTCGCTTTACAGTGTGACTTATCCTCTCGTCAGCGAAAAGTTCTATCACATTCAAGGACAAAGCAATAAAAATTCTCTCTCTTTCTTTTTCCTTTCCCTTTACCTGACCCCTCCGTTCATTCTTGCATCTATACTTTCAGTTATTCAAAATTTATGTTCTGTTAAAATGAGGAAGAAGGTTACATGCTTTTCTTTCAAAAGCAATAAATCCGTAAAATTTTTACTTTGACTATTTTGGGAAGTTATTTGACAAAAAAAAATTAATGGTTTATCAAAATGAAGAGAAGGGTGCATGCTTTCTTTTTCAAAGCAATAAAGCCGTAAAATTTTTACTCGCACTACCGTGGGAAGTTATTTGACAAGAGAGATTTAATACCATTTGACAGTTTGCCTGGACAAATGTCTTTCGAGTTTCTTTCAAGGTCTTTACTTTGTAAGATTTATTATAATTTTTTACTCGTGCTTTATTAATAAACCAGGAAAAGATAACTGCAGAATATTTATGTAATCTTGAAAATTTGGAATGTACAATCGAAGCTAACCACGATCGAGATTGACCCACGGACGATCAACGAAGTACATTGCATATTGATTCAGCCAGACTGAGATATATAATCGTCGTATTCAATGCAAAGTGTGCTGACGGCGCGTGTCACAGGCAGATGTCACGGAGGTGAACACTACGATACCCCAACACGATGTGCGTCCGAACGCAAAGTTTTGAAAGGTGGGTTTAATATATCAATATTAGTATTTATCTAATGTACATCTGACATTACCGCTGTCTAAAAACACCTGCAGTCAGAATTTACAATTAGAATCTCGGCAATTTTGAACAACTCGGCGAGAAAGTGAGTTTTATATGAATTCGATTTCTAAATTTCTTGGAATCTTAAGTACATGATCATGACATTGAAACGGCAAACGTCTCGACATGGGCCCTCGTATCGCGACTTATTGACTCGTTCGCGCGGGCTCTCCCGTCAAACTCGACGACCACGTGCTCGCTGCGATGCCTCCCGAGACGCTACGGGGTTCACCCGAGTGTTAGCACGGAGAGCAGCACTTCTCCCACTTCTCGATATATAGCGGATCATGCGCTGCAAGACCACGTGCTTTCGACGTACGCGAGGACGCACACGCTGGCATTTATGTTGTAATGGAAAAGCGCGCGCTGCCGACAATTGACAAGAGCGGATTTAATAGAGAAATATTTGGGCGACATTTATCTCGGCTGAATTCCATCGTTATTTATGGTCACTGCGCTACGTCCAGAATGGGAAATGGATTCACATTGACAAGCTCGGACGAAACTGAATTCTTTGACACTAAAATAGGAAATTGCTTCCTTAATTTTGAAGAGGTGGATCGCCAGTAAATAAAAAACAAAATTCGAGAATTATATCGACAATAACTGGCACAATATATTTTAATTAGTACACGACATCTATCACGCGTGTTTTACAAGGAGCAGGCAAGAAAATCTGCAAATGTTGGGTTGATGCATAAATTCGTCCCGTTTTTAAACCAAAAATTTCGTATCTATGAATTTTCTCAATATTCCAATTCTCCATATTGCTTTCCATACATTTTCAAGGTTCTTCAACGTCATTCAGGGTACATTTCCCGGGTTTAAATTCAAATCTTGGGATCTGAGTACAATAGCTGTCTTAAGGGTGTAAGAGCCATTCGGCTCAGGCCTGAGCACAATAGCTGTCAGGCAGTCAAAGGATGGACCGACGCTGTTAGAATATAACGTAAAAAATATATATTCTGTTCAATTGCTACTCTCAAATGTTTAATACGTCATACAAGTGTGAAGTTAATAGCAGATCGAATTCGTATATGTATAAAGTACGCGAATGTTTAAAAACGGGACGAACTTATGCATCAACCAAATAGTTTGAAGAATGTTTATTAGTTAGGCAAAACTTTATATAAAATAGATGGTCTCTTGTTTTCTAATGAAAAATTAATGAGATATTCGAAATCACATCGATTATTGTACTAATTTCCAACCCATGATTCACTGACCAATCGTGGTTATGTTATCAGTTTAGTACATGGTTGGGAAAGTTACTTTTATAAAAGTATCTTATAACCACAAAAAATTTCCGGATCCAATGATATTACGCTTCAATGTATCATAAAATAGAATCGATATAGCGCCAATCATATTTATTATTAGAGAGGAGGTTAAAAATTTGTATAAAGTAATTATTAAAATGTAACTATTAAATTAGTTCCTAGTTATCGAAAAAATGTAACTGAGTTGAGTTATAGTTACAGATAGAAAGAAAGTAAAGAAGTTAAGTTAGAGTTACAAAAAAAAGTAGCTGTAACTGTAACTTCGTTACAAATAACGAGCTACTTCCCAAACCTGGTTTAGTATTGAGTACATACTTAGATTTTTATCTTTTCTACGTTTTTTAATTACTATAAATGAACATAACTAAAGACGTATAGGTATTTACTACATAAATTCTTGCACGTTCTAAAATAGAATTTTGTATGTTCTTCCTTCCCTCGTTTCCTTCCCTTCTTACATACAGACTAGTGGTTCATAATTCATATGTAGTCAAAAGGGATTGTTATTGTTAGATGTCAAAGTTTAGAAATCACTAATTGATTGTAGTTCTTTGAAGTTGCATTCCACATGACGCTGCAAATACTTTGGCAATACATCCGAGGAAATTCAGTTCTAGTTTTTAAATGCGACTGTAACTCAGGTAGTAGAGTGTCATGCTACACATTGTCCCACCTTGTGCGTCTCACAAGCAGGGTTCGAGTCCTGTCGCCAAACTTTTTGTTCACGAAGTATTAAAATTGAATTTTTTTTTAAGATAGACTCGTTAAAAATTAAAGTACAATTATTAAAATCATTTACATCTTATTAATTAATAAAAAAGCTTTGTTATAAGATATAAATTTTTTCACAATCGCGTGACAATTATCGTGTAAGCAAATTTTGTTTCTTCGATGTTTTAACGCCATAATATTATATCAAGGTTGAGAACGTTACCTTAAAAAAGTAACGCGTTACCGTTATCGTTACTTTTTTGTAAAAAGTAACTCGTCACCGTTACTCGTTACCGATTTTAAAAAATAACGCGTTACCGTTACCGTTACTCAAAAAGTAACGATTCGTTGACTTCCAGCGCCCAATATCGGAACATTTTTGTCTAATCAAGAATAGTGCGCGCGACCAGCGCACGATCTATTGAACAGATATAAAAGATAATAGGGAACTAAAGTAACGATAAAAGTAACAGCTGAATTCGTTACCGTTACTGTAAAAATGTAACAACGTTACCCTTATCGTTACAGACATAAAAAAGTAACGATCGTTATTGAAAAAAAGTAACGAAAATGGTAACGGCGTTACAAGTAACGCGTTACTTCCCAACCCTGTATTATATATTGCGTTTCAGCTACTTTTATTTATAAATCTCACGTTTAATATTATGAAAAAATTTATAGTTTTTAACATAAAGTAAACTTCTTTATTAACAAATAAAGTACAAACAATTCCAAACTCGATAACTTAATTTTCAACAAATTTATTTATTATCCTGCAAAAAATTTTACTATTTTATTATTTTATTAAAAAAAGATAGGTGTCAAACCGGATCCACAAAAGTAAGGTGGATTTTGGTTTATTGCCGCAATCATGATCGATAACGACAATAGCCATAAAACAACTTGTGATGTAGTATGCGTCTAGTTTTAAATGACTGTGTTAATTTTTCTATACTCAGAAAATGCGAGGGATGCATTCATAATGTTTTACCTAATTAAAAAGCATCGTTTAAACTATTGTCAAGATTTAAAACTGATCTTCTATTTCTTGCCTACTGCTTGACAGAAAAACTATTTATGTGTAACTCAGTTAATATACTTAACTCACTGTATTTTTAGGTAACTAGACAACACATGCGCGCGCGCTTCGCGCGCGCCATTTGCTCTATCGAAATCAGCATCTCGGAAAAGCGACAATACCTCGAGACTTTCGACTGTCAACTTAACGCGCCTTTTTTTTATATAGGATTGTTAAAAGTAACTTGGGAAACAAAAGTACTCTACTCTTTGCGAATAAAAATTAATAAAGAGTTAAAAAAATTATAATTTTTTCGATATTTGTTCAATTTCCAAATTCTAAAAACCTGACATTCTTTTACGAATTCATTAATAGCCGACGAATGATGTACGTGATAGTGAAAGGGGATCTAATCTAACTGTCGAAAGTAAGACCTGCTTTCGCTAATTTCATTAACATGGCAGTTTAGATACGAGGGGGAAATCGCTGACCAAAATCTTGTACACCAGTGCCCACTAATGCCCAGTGGGCGTTACTTTATCTTATTATCTGCTTCTATCGTATTCATCTTGTTCTACCTTATTTCATTTTATTTAATCTTTCTACCCAGTGAGAAATGATTCGTCGATCGATGTCAAAACGATGTCGAATCGATATCGATACCGTCAAATTGACGTCGATTCGACATCGTTTCGACATCGATCGACGAATCATTTCTCGCTGGGTAATGCCCCGGCAAAGCCTAATGCCCAAACTAATGCTAAAAAAATGCCCAGTAATGCCGCAAATCTGTACACCACAACACCCTCAGCGGTTTCCCCCTCGTTTAGATAACAATCGTATACACCTATTCTGTACGATCACGGGAATAACTCCGTAATTATCGCCACTTTAAAAACATGGTTTATACAATGGACCGTCGTTTCAAGGTATTAGAATCAATTGAATAATTAATTTTTTATTTGGGATCCACTCACGGGACAAAGACTCTAACTAGCTTGGTAGATGTCAGGTTTAATTTTGCCGTCTCATGCAGGTTTTAATTTTACCAATTTCTGTACCTTTCGTCCCAGACTTGTCTTTGGCCGTTTTTTGTACGAACTTCATATTGACAATCGGAGGTAGCACTCTTCTGAACCACTCGACGTCAAATCTTCAAATCAAACACAGTGACATTTGCGCGTTTGGGATCTTAAAAAGATCTGGAAAATTTGTCTTTAACGGTATCCAAGGCCGGCGATCCATATAAAAAAATGGGGTAGAAGCGAATTTGCCACGATGCTCACGTGCCGTGGACGAGTCGCCCTTCGCAAACGTCACGACAGCCGTGCGGTTCGCGCGCGGCCTCTCACAAACCGGAGGCGCGAGAACCGGTTCGGTAAAAATCCACACGTCGGATTTGCACGATCATGTGCGGGCGACCGTCATTGAGGGTATGGCGCGGGGAAGACGTCGGCGGCGACGCTAATCAGCTTCCCCGAGACGATCACTTTTGACACCCGTGTCCCGTTACGATGCGACGCCACGCGTGTTGCCGATACAACTCGTCCGCGCCGGTCTGCCACGCGGTTGTCACATCGAGTTCGTATTTTTCCTACTTTCACAATACTTGCACAATTGTTAACGTGGTAACGTGGGTATTAAGCTCTCCTGATCGCGCCGGCAACCGGAAACGGGAATGATCGAGGCACCCGCGACGTCGCGTCACACTACGCCTTATCGATCTGAGATTCTTACAGAAGTGACACTAGAGTCGACACTCCACACCAGACGGCAATACGCGCGCGACTACCGACGGAGACACTAGATGCAAAGGCAGCCGGTCACGTGGAGGGGGTAGGGTGGGGATAGCACTCGGCGCTCGACAAGCGGATGGTATAGACGTACGTCAAGCCTATTCATGCGATGCCCAGTCAGGTAACAGACAAATAGGAATAGGGATAGGGACAAGGGAATAGAATAGAATTTCTGACCTGTTGGATTCGTCAAAAATTTTTTGCGTGGTCGATTTTCCACAGACGTGGCTGTGCAGGAGTGGCAAAAGTGGTTTTACTACCAACCGAAAGCCTTGGAAGAAATACTCAAGCTTATGGATGAAGTGCATTGCCAAGGGAGGAGACTATGAGTACCATTAAACGGCAAATTAATACGGCGAAACGCACAATTATGCTATAAGTGTACCACTGAAAATCACAGTTCCTTCCCCCCCACCTTGCTTTGCGCCGTATTTTTCTATGTTCATGTAACATACTTACGTACATACGCACACACAAATATTTTTATACCGAATTTCATTTTCATTAAAAAAAAGCTGAGAAAATTGTTATCGCTCGGAGCGGGATCAAGCGTTACACGTCGCTCGTGCGTAGCCATTGCCGATTGCTATAAACAATTTTCCGTGCGAATTAGGCGATGGGCCGGGCTAGGACAATTTTTAATAATTAATTACTCGTTACCTATTGCGAAAATTGCAAAATGGTACAGGACTTTTCTGTTCATTTCGATCCGCTCTACCTTCTCACGAGCGTTGTAAAAAAATATATAACTCACCCTGTATACGTCTAGTAAATCACAATTTATATAAGGATAGGGAAGAACAATGGGTAGACAAATTATTGAGAATAGAAGAATCGAGATATAATAGATGGTATAAGGTAATAAAGGTGGAAGGAATTCCTGAATATTTAAAAAAGACTTAGGGGGAAGTAGATGGAGAAGGGTGATGAGGTTCGGGCTAGGAAATGAAGTGAAAGAGAGTAAGTATTGGGAGGAACAGGGAAAAAAAGTGTAAAACTATGCGAACGACAGTTAGAAACTTGAAACCATACCTGTATGGAAATTCTGTAAGTTGCAATCGATGATTTTCGGTATCGTTAATTAGCGACAGCCAATGGCGAGGACGATCTTCAAAAAAGACGCAGATTTTCATTGGTTGTACCTAGTTAACGTTATCGAAAAACCTCGATAGCAAGTTACAAAATTTCCACACTAGGAAAGACATTAGGATTGGAAAAAATAGGATGGAGGATGGAAGGCCGTGGTGAAATGAATTGGGGAAAAAGAGGAGTTGGAGGGGGAAAGGAAGAGAGAGAGACAGACAGAGAGAGAGAGACCGGAGGGAGGAGTCGCGGTAGAGAAAATGAGACCGAAAAACAAGAAATGGAAGTCGAAAGACAAATGTACGTGCGTGGGTGCGGGCGTGTGCGTGTTGAAATACCAAAAATGTCAAAAATGTAAAATGTAAAAATGTAAGAAAATGTAAGATAGGTAGGATAAGTTAGACTAAGTTAGAATAAGTTTAGGCATAAGTGTAAGATTGTAAGAGATTGTAACCCTAAGAGGAACAATAAAGCTAATTCTATAATTCTAAATCACAATTTCATACATAAATTATTATACAAGACACATAAGCATTAATTGGACATATCATGTTTTAACTTTCATAGAATTATGTCCAAATCTATTAAGATAAAAAAGTGTACGCGATAAAATTTTATTCTAAATCTAAAGAATATAAAATACCGATCAAGAAAGGATGGTGCAAGTATTTTAACAATTTATTAGAAACACAATAACCTATACTTATATTAATGTTATTTTCTTTGATGAATATATCAGAAGATCAGATAATAAAGTGAATAACACATTCAACAATCAAGTTAACGTTATAATTTTATAATTGGAAACAATTTGGTAACTTAACAAACATTACTGATAAGTAATTAATTCAATGATTGTTAGTTAATAAGATTATTTTTGACACTGTATATTTAATACATGAAGTATTCAAATCACGTATATAAAGATGCTTACAATCAGAATTTTACTTAAATAAAACATTTTATTGGAAGAAATAAAGAAGATAATATTAAGCAAACAAATATTTATACATATAAATATTTAATTCTAAATTCTTCATCTATTTCTATCATTCTTTATCAGATCATTAATTCACTGGTAGCCTAACAAACCGAAATATTCTTTTATTTATGACCAAACCGAGAACCGCCATAAAAATAATAATGACTTTTCTAACCGTAAACAGAAATTTTCTTTTCAAAGATCCGAAACACTATACATGATGATGATATGCATGATGATGTATATTTTGGGATTTTAGTATGACAAAGAACTTTTCCTTTACTCTGACATAAAGCGTCTAACAATAAGATTAATGACGTTAGAAAGAGAAGAAATAGAAGAAAGGAAGAGATTGAACCTTTATTGCTTGATTTCTTTTCTAACAAAAAGTTAGCATTATATATCCTATCGTGACACTCAATACAATAGTTCGTTTGAATACTACTTCTCCGTTTCTATCTTTATAGAACTAATTTATAATAAACAATATATGTGAACATGCCTAATGGCGTTTTTCTTCGGAAAAGAAAATACAGCTAAGTAATAAATTAATGAATTAGTAAGGCTCATATGTGTTAAATACAACGTCGTCTTATTCGACGACGATGTTGACTCAGTGTCACTCGAAAAAGACCCAAAAAAATAGGGTCAAAACGTTGTGTAATAAATCATTAAATAATTAGCCAGTTGGGTTGACTATTAGTTTCCCGTCTCAATTTCTAATCATTACTGATGACAATAAGCAAACTCTCCTCCATCTATAAGAAACTTTTCAATAATCAGAACGAAGAAATAATTTCTAAGTACAAATGTTATAAAAAACGCAGAAAAAGACACACACACACACACACACACACAGAAAGAGAGATCGTAATTGTTAAAAATGCTCAATGTTACAGAGTAAATGTGCCAGTTGAACGAACGATACGTCTTATCTGCAATGTCTAATGGATTACTTGCTCCCGACGTTTTATTCGCGTTCACCCAATGACTTGTGGAACGATTACGCGATTCCTCCTCATTATTTCGGCGATTTCGTCGCCGGATGATCTCGCTTGCGAAACTCGTGCGCAGCATCGAAATCACAACAAATCGCGATTGACTTCTCAATTGCGCTTCAATGTTGTCAAGGTCCTAAGCCGGTCGCGTTTTATATCTTGCAGCGTAAACATGAGTGAGCCGCAAAAATAAGAGCCACAGCCTAATCGATTAAGATACATGAAAGGACTGATTTAAATGGATCTGTGAAGTTAGCATGACATTCTTCGAATTTCAAAAAACTATTAACAGTTCTAATGACACTTTCGATAGTTTTAGAGTTTCTGATAAAAATTAGAGAGTTCCGCAACCATTATAATAAAAAATCAAAATTGAAAAAATGTGCTAACTTCACGAAACTAAGCACGACACATTCTCCTCTAAAGTACTAAAACGCGTTGTATATTATCAGTTTTGACAACAGTTCCCAGTTCTAATCGAGATGCACATATACAGGGTGTCCCAATTTAATGTCCCACCCCAAATAACTTTTTCATTTTTGAACGTAGAAAAAACGTTTCAGACAAAGTTGTTTAGTTCGAAGGGGGACATAAGATGGTGCCATTAGTTTGACCTTGACGAGTTGCTTGAAGGTCACGTACAGGTCACCTTCAATTTTTTTAATGGAAGCCCCTATTGTTTATTATACTATCTTATTTTACTAATTAATATGAATAACTTTTGTCTAAAATTTTTTATTTGCCTAATACTTTTTGAGATATTTAAGAGAAAATTTATAACTTTTTCAATGTTTAGCTTATGACATCTCGATAACTGTTTATCGGAGGGAAAAGTAGTACATGATTTTTTTACTTGATTTGGTCTCAGGAATATGTTGTTGCAATAGTGCTCCAATTGTTGAAAAGTTTTGTGTACTTATATAAATTTGGTGTACCTATGTTACAATATGCCTCGGTGGTCGAATTTGTTAAGACGCCCGCCTAGCGTGTGGGGAGGTCAAGGTTCAAACCCTGGCTGAGGTAATATTTTTCGCAATAATTTTTCTGTGTTATAAAACACATCGCCAGTCATGGTCGATTAACAGTTTAATCACGTTAAATCTGGCGTCAAATAATTATTGATGCTATTAGAACTGTTTTTTTTTAATTCGAAGAATGTCGTGCTAACTTCACAGATCCGATTTAAACTAGGTTCTATATTTTAAAAAGTCCCCTTAACAACATAATGCTGAATAAAATAAAATTGATTTCAGATAAAAGATAAATCTGGAGATTTAGAGGCTCTATACCTCGTGTAATAATATAGCTATAGATTTATCTATTAGCATAATAAGAAATTTTCTTCATTCTAAAAATATTAATTTCTAATAATTTGCTTTAGCTGATAAATAGCCTTTTAAGGAAAAGGAATCTTTTGTAAATAAAAGTTGAATATTTTATTATTACAACTTTGAAAGATTCAGAAGAACGTGGATGGAAAAATGTTTATAATCAGTAGTGTAAGATAATGGAAGATTTGATTATTTAAATATTTGATGTTGATAAAATCAACTCTTGTAACTATGTCACTCTTAAAGTAATTTTTGCACACTAAAGTCGCAAAATGACATTTCAATATTGTTGTTAATGTGAAGATTTTCGGAACGGCATTTATATCATTAGCGCTTAACATTGTTCTGTTCATTTTTTTCTCTTACGTAAATCTATTAACAGAAGCAATTTAATATTAGATAACCGTAACTCCTTGAACACAGTAATAACAATTTAGCAGTAGTGGAAGTCGCCTTTATCTTATCTCGGTGCTGTATTTGTATCATACATTTATTTTACTATCTACAATGTACGACACACGATGCGTGCGTATGTACGTGCGTTCTGATAAAGTGTATGTAAATACAAAATCTAAATGTAAAATATTCATCCTATGTACTAGCCGTTTGTAGGTTTTCTCATCTATAAAAAATGCGCTGTGTAAATAGGACGCTAATACAAAAATTATTATCGTAATCATCGCTATATCAAATCAAATAATAGATCTAGTAGTAGTATTATAGTAGTGGTAGTGGTAGTGGTAGTGGTAGTAGTACTAGTACTAGTAGAAGTAGTAGTAATACTAGTAGTAATAATAATAATATTGTCAAATAAAACGAAGTTATTATTCTTGGGGATTCTTCCGAAAACACTCATGCTCCAATTTGGCTTAAATTTTGTAAATACATTTCATTTAGATAAAAACGAAGTATACCAGATGGATATTTGGCGACTCCGAGGTTAACCATCTTTTTAAACAATTTTTCATATTTCCTTGCATACTAACGGGCAAATGTCTACAAAAAGAACAACCCCACCAATAACTTTGACTTTGACATGTTTTCAATATCCTAAGTATCCCTTAGAAAGTCCTTGATTATTGTTTAAAAAGATGTAAAGAAAATAATACAGCGGTTTTTCCAAAAGATTTTAAATGCAAGTTTAAGAAGGGTGCGCGCGCATGCAGGGATGCATGGAGTACATGGAGAGCAGCTAATCGCTGCCAAAGAGTGGCGAACAGAGGTATCTTCCTCTCTCTGACCGCTGACAAAGCCTGCGTTCGTTTTCTCCCACTGGGAGCATAAACTATACTAAAACTATAATA